ATGTTTATAACTGGCTCTTTAGTTGTATCTTGGGCATACCTTTTCATATGTCCAATCGTAGTTTTTGTATGTTTCTTTTCTAGGTATTTTCTAATGCTAAATTAGGTCATTAGGATGAGTCTATCATTTAACTGTATTAGCCTGTAACAGTTTTTACAAGAGGTATTTCCTGAAGTTCTAGTGCGAAGCCGTGATCAGTGGAGTTCAACGGGGTCTATTGTGAAATAGTAGCTCACCAAAGAAAATGGTAGACGGTGACGCAATTTCGTGGATTGGTTGAAGGTAGATATTAACACCGTTGGATGCTGGCTCAGTGGCCTAGAGGTTAAACCTTTTGCGCGAAGGCTCTGGTTTCATGGGTGCGCATTGTATAGGAGTCCCGTCCAGTTCTCCCAGGTTTTCAACGGTAGTCTAGCTTTAATATACGCTTTTGTAAATATAAACAATAAGGTTATTTTTAGACTTAATTGACCTGTTCAATAAGAAATAAAGATGATAAATAATCTGTTTTCGTAATGATGCAGTCTCATGGTAGCCAGTGACCAACGCTTGGCTCATACGCCAATTGTTCCTTCAGGACCATGGAGTCCATGTGCACATATGGTTTGGAATTATGGTTATCCAACTCCCCTAGGCGGGTTAAAGTACTGGACATTCGCTTCTCATCCTCTCAATTTCGTAAACAACAATAATGCTTTGAAAAGGCTATGATTAAGACTTCTGTGACAGTGGTTTTATGCACGTGACCAACTGAAAGCATTTGGTGAAAGAGAGAGCTGACTCTCCTCACTCTCGACCGTACCAGGGTATTTGGGGCAATAAGAACTGAACAACTGTAGGCATAATCAAGTCATCATCTGAATAAATACAATCACTTACCAGATCCAAAATTTCGATAATATTCAACTAACTGAAAGTAATTGAATCACCATCTAAAAAGTCATAATAAAAATTTAGACCTTCATAAAGAACTTCAATTATCTACAGGATTGTTCATAATTCTCTGATTGGATTTATTTCAACAGGACAATAAAGGTCAGTTCATTTCTTTATTATCAGAAGGGGTTTGTGGAGATTTTTAGAAATTTTCACAGATTGAACTCATGAGTCAGTTGAAGCTAGACCACCATTGAAAACCTAGAAGCACTGGACGGCCGTTTCGTCCCAGTATGGGACTCCTCAGCAGTGCGCATCCATGATCCCGCAACACGCGGGGCTCGAACCCAGGACCTACTGGCTTCGCGCGCGAGCACTTAACCATTAGACCACTGAGCCGGCGTCCAACGGTGTTAATGTCCAGTGCTTCCAGGTTTTCAATGGTGGTCTAGCTTCAACTGACTCATGATTTCAATCTGTGAACATTTCTTTATTGACTGACAAAACGATTGATTGTGAATATAAGTATCTATTTCCTGTATAAAGAAAACTCACTTGATAGTGTCTTGAATAAATTGGTGATAAAAAGATAGTTTCAACGGATATCTTGAAGTATCAAGAGGATTAATGAATTAGCTTCAACAAAATCGAAGTCAACTTTGATCCATTTAACAAAAATCTGTTGTAAACAAATCAAGAAATTCAGTAATTTACTTTCGGTGATGAATTAAAAAAGACCAAAAAATACTGAATATACTGATTGTTTTAGTTTGGGACACGGTGGATTTGATGCAGATGTGAAGGTATGGATCATCAAAGCAAGAGCAAAATATCTAAAATTAAAGATCATCTAGAACCCAAAACAACTGTCTGTCAACCAACGTCAGAATTTCCAATACAAATGTCAAAACAGTTCTACTGTGTGTGGTGGAAACTTGAAGAACTACGAAACAAATCATCCAGAAAATACAAGTGTTTATTAACAGTCGTCTACGCAAAATACTTCGGATCCGTTGACCAGAAACTATCAGCAACAACCTACTGTGTTAGAGAACAAACCCGATTCCAACGGAGGTTGAAATCAAGAAGAAGCGCTGGAAGTGGATAGAACACAGACTGAGGAAAGCACCGAACTGCGTCACAAAGCAAGCTCTCACATGGAATCCTCAAAGCCATAGGAGAAGTGGAAGACCAAAGAACACATTACGCCGAGAAATGGAGACAGACATGAGAAGAATCAAGAACAATTGGATAGAAGTACAAAAGAAGACCCATGACAGAGTATGTTGGAGAATGCTGATCGGTGGCCAATGTTCCATTAGAAGTAACAGGTGTAAGAAAGTATGGGAAGATATAAACAAAACAATACCAAGTGAATTTACATTCACCCCATTACACAAGCAAGTGGCTATCGGGATTCAGTATCTGAGTGGATAACGCGATGGCGTTTGAAGAGAATGGTACTGGGTTCGAGTCCCGGCGTGAACATCAACTCCAAGATGCAGGTACATCCAGATGACAAGTCTTATATACGACGAAACGTGCGTCCCGAGTTCCACTGTTAGCCATCATTCATCTTTGCACCCAAATATTATTTTCTGAATGCTTTTCAAAGAAAATTTATCATCGCCAACCAGATCTTTGATCCTTGATTCTGTGTTTAACTCATCTCTATTAAATGTGATTATACTCGGAAAAAAACGTAGTGAATGTAACTAGAGGGAATAATATCTAAGTAGACGATAAGTATATATCAACAATAACAACAATAAGATTGAATAAACCGACAACTTGAACATGTAATCAAATAACAACACTAAATTAATTCATAGGTAAATTACATGTCAATTAATCATTTATAATTTATATGGTCCAATAAATACGAGATGGAGTTATACATGTATATACACACACAAAAACTAGTAGACAACAGATATGAAAGATTTTATAAGCAAAGATGGATAGTGGCTAGCAGTGGAATCCAGGACGACCACCACTTCGTCCTACTTGGGACGAAGTTGGATGTACCTGCATCTAAGCTGACGTCCGCTCTAGGACTCGAACCCAGTACCATTCTCTTCAAACGCCATTGCGTTATCCACTCAGATACTGAGCCCTGATAGCCACTTGCTTGTGCAATGGGGTGAATTGAAATTCACTTGGTATTGTTTGGCTTGTATCTTCTCATTGATGTTTAAGACTGCAATTGATCAGTCTGTTATTGGCATGGTACTGGGTTCGAGTCCTAGAGTGAACATCAACTCTATGAGATGCAGGTACATCCAGCTGACCAGTCCCAAACAGGACGAAACGTACGTCAAACTGGATTCAATTGCTAGCCACTATCCATCATTGCTTACAAATAGCTTGTGGATTAAGGCAATATCGAGGCATACACACAGTATGCACATATGACAATAACAGACTGATCAATTGCAGTCTTAAACCTCAATGGGAAGCATACAAGCAAAACAATACCAAATGTAGTAAGTAATTATAGTTTGTAACACTTTAGAAATCAACAGTCAGATAACCTTAGCACACATCACACTGAATAATTTCATGTCTAACATCATGTTAAGAGGATAATCTATTAACCATATATGGAGAGGTTCTAAAGTGATATGATGAGAAGAAAAATCAATATTCGATTGATTTACTTATTATTATGAGTTTTGTTCAATATTATTTCCCTTCTAATTCAATGTGATGATCATGCACAATAGTATTTGTTTTCTTTTGTCGTATGATATTTGATTCTGTATAATATACGTGATATTCTTGTATCCCATTGACATGAACTATACTCAGTCTGAGTATGTGATCTAATCCTCATTATTAATCAAAAATGGGTGTAAAATCAATATAGAAAACCAGTGTATTTTAGACTATTTTGATTCGTCGTGTTTTGGGGCTAATAAATCATCACTTATACCAGTCTTGTGTTCTTACTTCGTGGGAATTGCCGAGGTCCCCCCCCTCATTCCGAGTATAAGTGATCAGTGGCTTTTTCCGTCACAACAATTGCGATGACTAAATACAACATAATGAATTCCTGTCATAGAATACTTATACTGACCTTATCTACGAGGGAATTAAAAGTGTAACAAATAAACTATCTATTCCAAAAAGAAGAGTTCTAATTTACAGTGGTAATCCTATGGATATTTATATTAAACTACTTATACTTTTAGACTGTTTCTACCCCTTTATTTATAAAACTATAACATCAGGCTAATGTTCCATTTCAAAATACTTTGTTTATCAAGTCAACTTCTTTGATAACATACAAGTTTCTTTAATGAAATTAGATTCATCATCATTAGAAATCACTTAGACTATAATGAAAATCACAGCTCATTTATTAGAAGGCACACACCTATATATATATATGTGCTATACATGAAGTATAAGTGTGTGCATATGTAGTTCACACACACATATATATCTACCATAGTATCTGTCTTTGAACAGCTCGTACCTCCATTGGTTAATTAATCATAAACACATTCACTTATATATATATATATGTATATGTTATTATTCATTTGAGCACAATGATATTAGCTTTATACACAAATAAGAAAGTGAATATATACCATTATCGACTTTTATTGATATCAGGTGACCAATGGTATTTTAGTTATCTAATGAATAAAAACAATTTGCTAATTATTAATATAATGTCTCCTTTCATTAGTTATTGTTTCCAATAAATCATTGAAGAATTAGTTACTAACATATATTTGGTATCATTGTTAAAACTTTATGTTACTGTCCACATTGAAATCATTCAAGAAACAAGGATCTAGTGAAGTTAAAAGGAACATCCACATTGAAATCATTCAAGAAAAATAAAGGATCTGGTCAAGTTAAAATAAACATCCACATTGAAATCATTCAAGAAAAATAAAGGATCTGGTCAAGTTAAAATAAACATCCACATTGAAATCATTCAAGAAAAATAAAGGATCTGGTCAAGTTAAAATAAACATCCACATTGAAATCATTCAGGAAACAGGATCCAGTGAAGTTAAAACAAACATCCACATTGAAATCATTCAAAATTGAAATCATTCAAGAAAAATAAAGGATCTGGTCTACATTGAAATCATTCAGGAAACAGGATCAGTGAAGTTAAAACAAACATCCACATTGAAATCATTCGAAATCATTCAGAAACAGGATCCAGTGAAGTTAAAACAAACATCCACATTGAAATCATTCAAAAAAGGATCTGTTTAATATAAAAAAAACACCTAAATTGAAATCATTCAAGAAAAATAAAGGATCTGGTCGTGTTAAAACAAACAAACAAACACACACACACAACCTAATCTTATCATCAGAAGAACTGTTATATTAATATTTAAAACAGAATATAATAGAGGGATTTTCAATTAAAGCGGGAATTCGAACAACAGAATAAACAGGAATAGTATTTTTTTTTTAAAAAAATATTCATACAGAGTCATTGATAAGACATCCGTTCAGAAGGCGGAAATATGTCAAGTTGGCAACGTCTTTCTGGATATTTAAATTCGAAACCGACTGGACGTAAGTCATTTGTTTTCTCACAATACCATTAATGTAAATTCACTTGGTGTTGTTTTACTTGTATCTACTCATTGTTATTTAGGAATATAATTAATCAGTCTCATATTAACAGGTAGATCCAACTGACGAGTCCTAAATAGGACGAAACGCGCATCAAACTGGATTCTACTGCTAGCCACTATCTATCTTTGCTTAAAAAGTACCATTAGTGTGTATGTTTTTTTTAAACGAAAGTTGTTTATTAGTTGTCTATAATCTTTTGGTGATATTCTAGTTTTGTAGCAAACGAGATCACAAGTAAGTACAATCGAATATAATTAAACACACAAAATCTGAGAATCATACAGTGAAGACTTCATTTGCAGAATGTTAAACAGTTACCACAGACTTCATTGTTCTTTCATTTCCATACCAATCATTCATTGTTCTTGTTCTCTTTTCTTTGATCTTCTTAACCTTCTGCCTTCAGACATATCACTTTTGATTGATGATACATACTACTTATATCTGTCTAGATGAATAGCACATACCACAGTTTTGTCCAATTTTAATAAAGATAATGAATTGTGCAATTTTACGATTTTGTAGACAATACTTTGGGTATTGTATAATACATAGAAGTTGTTAAATATCTTGTTAGTTATAGAATAGTGAATTAAATACACCCTGACATGTTAACTAATGCTCCTTTTGTAATGATAGCGGTAAGACCATAATTTATGGCTGAACCAATCAGATATAAGATAACTGGTCTAGGATTTTGGCGCGAAATTCATCCATCCATTTGTCTAAATAACGTTTTAGCATTTTAACTGATGTTAATTCATGATAAAAACTTTAGATCCAATCCCTATCCCTAACCATCAAGTGTCAAATTATAATCCTAATTCATCACATACACTAGTTTATAACCCTCATTTAACCCTAATCAGCCGGTGAACATTCTCAAGGCTACTTTAGCGTCTCACTTCTTCAGTTTACCTATAGGTTGCTACACAAACTAATCTCTAGTTCATGTTATATGGAGCTAACCGTCAATTCATGGATTAATGATTGATATTGCTATCAATTGTTAAGTTGAGTGCTGTATTAAGATTTTCTTATTGTTGATTGCATGAAATCGATCGATTAACTAAAAGCTAGGAGATCAAGTCAACCATGAGAACAATTATTGTTAGGCGATAATTTCACATTGTAACATGATTCATTTTCACGGCAAGAATTCGTTCATAATCAATTTTACTACAAAGTTAAATATATGGAATTCCAATACTGATTTCGTTAAACACTGTTTACTTTAGTTTAATAGTTGAACTCATGAGTCAATTAAAGCTAAACCGGGTCTGTTGAGAGATAGTAATTCAATCAAGATAGTAGTGGACGGTGGCACAATTTCGTGAATTAGTTGAAGTTAGATATTAACACCATCAGCGGTCTAGAGATCAAACTTTTGTGCGCTAGACCGACAGGTCCTGGAGTTCGAAACCAGCGGGCGCGATTGTGGATGCGCACTGCTGAAGAGTCCCATATTTAGACGACACGGCCGTTCACTGCTTCCAGGTTTACCTTGGTGGTCTAGCTTTAATTGCCTCATGAAATCAACTATTTACTTGTTTAACGTATTACCATATAGTAAATTAATTCGTCAACAAACGAAATAACAAACGCTACGAGACATGAATTCCATTTTTGGAATAATGACTGATTAGTTTAGACAATAAGATTTCAACTAATGGGTTGTACCTTCCAAATTATATCCAACAATTTCTGTTTAGACGTAGTCATATAATTGATTGTTAGTTAAACAGTTGTAAACAAGTCAAACCAACAGATTGCCTACTGTTGAAGAGTCCCACAACAGGATGGAAGGTCTGTACAGTGCTTCCAGGTTTTCAATAGTGATCTATCTTGATTTTAGGTTCATTAGAAATCATCATTCATTCAAATTAGTAACCAATTTGTAACTCGAACGACAGAACACGGATAACACTCAGTGTAGATCTTCGAAACTTAGATCAGGTCATATTATCCAGTAAGACAAAACCTGTAATCTATTCACATATACATTCATTAACTGTTTATATTTATCTCATTATAACTGTTCACTAATACTATACTATACTAATACACTTATTTAATTTAAAGAATTTCCGGTGTAAATATTCAATTGTTTGATGTGAATTACTTCCAGTGATTCCAGGTTTTCAATGGTTTGTCTAACATCAATCGGTCCGTGATCTCAATCAATAACTTAATCATCTTCACAACCTTATACAATGAATTGCTTTAACTAATTGTCGATGATATTTAATGAATTGATTGAAAGAGATATTTTGAAATTAGACCTCTGATATCATCTAAGGGACAGTCTTACTTACTTACTTACTTACTTACTTACTTACTTACTTACTTACTTACTTACTTACTTACTTACTTACTTACTTACTTACTTACTTACTTACTTACTTACTTACTTACTTACTTACTTACTTACTTACTTACTTACTTACTTACTTACTTACTTACTTACTTACTTACTTACTTACTTACTTACTTACTTACTTACTTACTTACTTACTTACTTACTTACTTACTTACTTACTTACTTACTTACTTACTTACTTACTTACTTACTTACTTACTTACTTACTTACTTACTTACTTACTTACTTACTTACTTACTTACTTACTTACTTACTTACTTACTTACTTACTTACTTACTTACTTACTTACTTACTTACTTACTTACTTACTTACTTACTTACTTACTTACTTACTTACTTACTTACTTACTTACTTACTTACTTACTTACTTACTTACTTACTTACTTACTTACTTACTTACTTACTTACTTACTTACTTACTTACTTACTTACTTACTTACTTACTTACTTACTTACTTACTTACTTACTTACTTACTTACTTACTTACTTACTTACTTACTTACTTACTTACTTACTTACTTACTTACTTACTTACTTACTTACTTACTTACTTACTTACTTACTTACTTACTTACTTACTTACTTACTTACTTACTTACTTACTTACTTACTTACTTACTTACTTACTTACTTACTTACTTACTTACTTACTTATTTACTTACTTATTTATTTACGCCTGTTACTCCCAATTGAGCATATGCCGTTAACCAGCATTCTTCAACCCACTCTGTCCTAGGCCTTCCTTTCTAGTTCTATACAATTGTTGTTCATTCTCTTCATGTCTGTTCCCATTTCTCGGCGAAATGTGTTCTCTGGTCTTCCTCTTTTTCTTTGACCTTGTGGATTCCACGTGAGGGCTTGACTTGTGAATCAGTTAGGTGCATTCCCCAATGTGTGCTATCCACTGTAATCCATTCTTCCCCCTAGATGTTGAGGTCTTCATAATCCAGTCGATCTGTAGGAGGAAGAGAAAGGGTTAGAGTAAACAACCTTGCCTGACACCGGGATGGTAGTTTTGTCTTAATTAGAAACTGACAAAAAATATGCATTCATTAACACACCAAAGATGGAACTCAGGGCTTTGCTGGCTTCGTCACAATCCCCATAGACGTTTAGAACACTGAATCGGAAACCGCTGATTCATATGATCGCATGTCAGATGATTTATGATATAGTGTAATCACCAGTTAATGTAAGGGATAATATCCCGTTTCACATATTATACAACTGCATTCAAATAGCTCTAAGATTCTTGATACTAAAGATTCTAAACTAAACCAGAAGTATGGTCGGTTAACTTTTCAAATAATCTCGGTTAATCAAGTTTGAAATTTGATGATTTATGTAGTTTTTAAGATCACATATTAGATCTTGAGGGCAGTTATCTTCGGTTCAAATACATTTCCATTTACTATTCAGTCTATGTAGTATATTAGTTCATTAAGCTGATTGTAAACTATCATATTTTTGAGTTCAAGACAGCATGGATTCAGAAAGCTCTTTTGGCTTTTACCAAATTACGTCACCTATCAAGAACGCAAAATATCCGTCTATGAATCAAAGGACGAGTATACTGCACAGCATTTCGTTCTATTCTCATTTACAGCTGCAAAACGTGGACATTAACAGTTAGCTACTACTATTTGATCAAAGATACCTTAGAAATATTACTCCCATCTACTGGGATCATCAACTAAGTAATAGTGAGGTTAGACATGAGGTATTAGAGAATGATGGTAAATCAGTTGGTAAGGTTGTAAATGTTCGTCGACTGAGATGGCTGGATCCTGTGGTACGTATGCCTGAACACTGATTATCACGAAGCGGGATGCTCATTATTGTTGAGAATGGTTGGAAGAAATTTAGGGATGGCTAAACCAAAATGTGGCATCAGTCCTTGAAGTCACTAACTAGTAATCTGAGCCATGTTGGTAGATGCAGATTACTGGGTTGGCGTCCGCATGACCATTGGAGACTATGTATGACATGGTTCAGAGTCAATCACAATGGTGTAGGCGTATACACTCTCTGTCTTCCCTTAAACGATGAGATTAAAATAGCTTTTTATCTTTGTTTCTACGAACTAATTCTTTCTTCTTGTACTATATTGCAATCTTTTTTTATATATTACCACCACTGAATTAACTACTTCTATGAATTTGGTATTCATGTTGTTGTGCTAATGTGGTATGGCAAGTTGGACCGATGCAAATATGTGTCTGATCCTACGTTGTGACTGAGTAAGTGACTGACTGACTCAAAACTGCCAGTGACTCTGTCGGTTGAGTTATTTTAGAATTTATAAAGAATATATATATTCAAGATTTTGAGATGAGCTAACTTAGTTGGTTGATTTTAGTAATGTTAACTTCAATGGGCAATACGATTTGACTATGGAGTTCTCATGGACAAATTAAGGCAATCAATCACACATAAATTAAGTTATTGTTTGCAGGATATCTAAGTAACTAGATTCTATATGAAGTAGGCCCTGATAATATTTCCCACAACGATAATAAGAGTTCCTTAATTAACCTATATAGCTGATAATT